ACTCTTGCCTACCCTGAACAAGCCTTGCCTCTCAGCATTTGTTTCTGATTGGTGTTGAAAATGGATCCTGGGAGACATCCTCCAGGCTTCCTCCTGTTGACCAGTCTCATGATATATGCAGGAAACAGATATGTTTTGCACACATGGGTTTCAATTGGCAAGCAGTGGCAATACATCTTTTCTTCAGGGGAAAATTGTTATCACGGAGGCAGTGCAATAGATGTTGTTGAGTTCAGTGGCTGTGCATGAGGCACAGTGCTAGGGCTGCTGTTAAAATGAAGATAGATTAAGCATTATGTTCTTGTCCACAGGAGCAGGTGACATAGTGTATGGGATAAGGGCCTGACTTGTAAGAGAGGACATGTCATGAGTGGGTCCCAAAGGTCAAATACAAGAGGTACAGGAAGTGGACATAGATATTATTTCAAAGTGGACATAGATATTATTTCAAACTGAGAGGACATATTACTACCAGAGGATGCTTTACAAAGGTGATGTTTGAAATTAGTCTTGAAAAAATAGTGTATTAGTCTCTTTTATTTTATTTATTTATTTATTTTTGAGACAGAGTCTTGCTCTGTCGCCAGTCTGGAGTGCTGTGGTGCAATCTCGACTCACTGCAACCTCCGCCTCCTGGGTTCAAGTGATTCTTCTACCTCAGCCTCCCAAGTACCTGGGACAACAGGCACGTGCCACCATGCCCAGCTAATTTTTTTGTATTTTTAATAGAGAGGGGGTTTCACCATGTTGTCCAGGATGGTCTCGATCTCTTGACCTCATGATCCGCCCACCTCAGCCTCCCAAAGTGCTGGGATTACACGCGTGAGCCACCGTGCCTGGCCTATTAGTCCATTTTCATACTGCTACAAAGACCTTATCTGCAACTGGGTAATTTATAAAGAAAAAGAGGTTTCATAGACTCACAGTTCCACATGGCTGGGGAGGCCTCATAATCATGGTGGAAGGTGAAGGAGGAACAAGGGAACTGCTCTTTATAAAACCATCAGATCTCATGAAACTTATTCACTAGAAAGAGAACTGCATGGGGAAAACCCACCCCCATGATTCAACTGCCTCCCACCAGGTACCCTACAACACATGGGGATCATGGGAGCTACAGTTCAAGATGAGATTAGGATGAGGACACAGCCAAACCATATCAAACAGTAGTATATTTATGGTCAGGGACTGAATGCATAGACAAGGAAAGGCTAAATACAGTATCAGACGATGCCGAAAAGAAGAAATTACTGTTGTACTTCACAACTTGATTGAGTAACAGACATAAAGTGAAAGAGGCCAGATACAAAACATATACAGTATGATTCTGTTCCTATGACAGAATTCTGTTCCAAGAACAGGCAAAAGTAATCAGTGAAAATAAGCGTAAGACTAGTGATGACCTGATGGTAGAGGAGGGTATTGATGGGAGGAGTCTAAGGAGCTGTAAATGTTCTCGTCTTGATTTAAGTGGTGGTTGGAGGGGTCCAAAATGTAAACATTCATAAACTGTACCTTTAAAGATTTATCTATTTGCCACATATACATTTAACCTAAATGAAAGAAAAAGCGTAAAAAGGAATATGCATAATAGTAAAATTAATGTTTCCATGCATGGGGTAGGCTGAATCTTGGCTCCTAAGAGATGTCTGTGTCCACATCCCTGAAACCTGTAAATGTCTTCCCTTACATGACATAAGAGATGTTAGAGATTATGGCTGAGAATCTTGAAGTAAGAAGATTAGCCTGGATGATCCAGGTGTGCCTGATGCAATCACCACGGGCATCATAAGAGGGAGGCAGCAGAGTCAAAGGTGGAAGACAGAGATGGGATGACAGAAGCAGAGGTTGGAGTGATGTCCTTTGAAGATAGAAAAGGGAGCATCAGTCAAACAACAAAGGTGGCCTCTGAAAGCTGGAAAAGACAAGGAAACTGATTGTCTCCTAGAACCTCTAGAAGGAAAGATGGGCTGCCACCACCTTGACTTTAGCCCAGTGAAACTGATTGCAGACTTCTGACCTCCAAAGCTGAAAGATAATAAATTTGTGCAGTGTTACACCAACTTTGTGGCAATTTGTTACAACAGCCGTAGGAAACTAATATAGTGCATATGATTTGCCAAGGACAGAATTAAACCCTTATGATATGGTTAATCTCAATTCATCTTCCTAAGTGCCCTTTGACTGAAGCTATTACCATTATTCATCCTCCTTTTATAAAGCAGGAAACAGACAGATCAAGTGCCACCCGAAGCAAAGAAAATAGTGAAGCTATGATTTGGGTCCAGACTCTAGAACTCAAGGTCTTCATCACTCAGCTTGTCCCCACCAAGCAGAAAGGGCAGCTGGAGCACAGCCCCAGATAGCACGGTCTGGAGGAAACTGAAGTCCAGGCCGTGGCTTGTTCTGCTTGCAGAGCACTCCGCCTGGCCTTCTCCCAGGCCCGTGACTGTGAGGAAGTGGTGTGGACTGAGAGGTGCTGAAATCGCTTTCGTGACAGGAGACTTGCCTCAGTGCCCTGTTGAGCATTGAAATATTTCACTTGTGCCCATTGGGCATCACATTTCAAGAAGATGTGTTAGGTTCACTGAAATAAAACATAATTCTCTCCCTTGGATGTACTATACTGAGCTGCTGCTGTCGCTGTGTGTGTGTGTGCATATGTGCAAGGTGGTGTTAGTGAGAGTTATACCAAGCTGTTGGCTCTGTCTCTCCTATTCTTCGGGGCTTAGCAGACTCATCTTTATTTACCAAATGGTAGTCAGAAGGTTGTATAACTAACCTTCACAGTGAATTCCATCAACTAACACAAGACCCAGACCTGTGGCATTGGTTTTCTGAGCTCACCATTCAACTACTGGGAACAGGATGCTACTTGCCCAAATAACAGAAGGACATGCACATATTTCTCTAAACCTTTTGGGTGGTTCTCCCAGTGAGTGGCTCTGTTCTCTATTTTTCCTTTGGCTGCAGAAGCACACTAGTTAAAACTAAGGGCTTTGGAGACTCTCAGAAAACCAGCTCTACTTTCTACAAGCTGGGTAACCTTGGCAGGTCACAGACCTTCAATACATATTGAATATCTGAAGGAAGATGCTTCATTATCCCAAACCCAGAATGTCAGATCTTTCAAGAACCTCAGAGATCATCTAGTCCAATTTCCACATTTTAAAGGTGGAGAAATTAGATCAAGAAAAGAGGCAAGTAGGCAAATGGCCAAGAGAGAACTGAGTGGCTAATCCAATTGTATGGATAACTGTCCTGTGTAAGGTTAGCTGATAATAGAAAAAAAAAGTAGTACCATCAGAAACATTTCTGGTAGACTATTAAGATCTATGAAATGGTAATCATTTGAACAACTATGGTTATTAGTCTTATTTGTAGACACAGTGTTCAATTATGCAGACCACTCTAGTGCATCAGTCCCAGGGAACTTTCTTAGCCATCAGTGCAGAGAGACAATTTTAAATGAATATAGACAGAATTTCCCCAGACTTACTCATAATACCCGGGACGCCAATTACCTATGAAAAATCAGTTCACTACAAGAGGAAGCATGGGGGCTTTAAAGCACTTCTTATTGCATGGTAGTCAAATAATTGTTTGAAAAAATAATTTTACCGACTTGTATTCAGGGCTATCCAAAAGGCTATATACGAATCTCAAAAAAAGCAGAGGGTAGTTTTTGTCTTTGTCCTAGAGAACATCCCTACATAGCAAAATCAAGTACCCATTGTCCATGAACCCTTCCTGATTCTCACGAACTGGTTTTATGTATTTATTGGCAACAAGAAGAGAAGCAGACTTAAAATAACATTATAAAAAGACCACAACACATTGCACACACCTAATTCAATAACTGCGATGTACAGAAACTCTTCTGGAAACCTTAGAACTTAACCTATTAGGTCAAGTTTCAAACACCTGCCACTATTGAAGCAATAAACTATTTTTGCCCAAAATTATATTCTCTTTTTCCTTCCTTCCTTCCTTCCTTCCTTCCTTCCTTCCTTCCTTCCTTCCTTCCTTCCTTCCTTCCTTTTCTTTCTTTCTCTCTCCTTTCTTTTTATTTTTTTCTTTCTTTTCTTTCTTTTTTTCTTTTCTCTCTCTCTTTCTTTCTTTCTTTCACTGTGTTGTCCCTCATTTCTGCCATGACCTGTGAGTAAGTCAGGGCCCTCTGAGGAGTCTTACATAAAACCACTGCCTCTTGGGAGCTTGTCAAAGTCTAAAGAGGTTTGACCATAGCAAAAACTAAACAAGGCATCCTATCTAGAACTTGGGGAAATTTTTTCAAAGTTGTTCCCACAAAACTGACTCAAGTGGTGCAGAGGAGTGGGGAATGGGAGGGTGGGTTAGCCTTTCAGTTGGACAAGACGTACTCTGTTGACGAGAATGGCTCCAAAAGAAGTCCAGAAGGCAAAGCTCTGGATTTGCCTTTGTGTTTTGGTGTAAAGGGTTTTCAGCTACCTGGGCTCAAAGACTGCACTGATGACCTTTCCATGCCCATGCACTCAGCTGATGAAAAGCAATGCAGCAAGAGCAAGAAAATTAGGAGGAACCTTTTCTTCAGGCTTCAGCCTTTTCTTAGCCTAGAAAGAATTTCATTCAGTAGAGCTTAGCAAAGCATCCATGAATGGGACCTCTGGGATGCCCCTTGAAATAGATTTAGATATGCACACATAGCCTGTCCTTTGGATAAGTCCACAAATAGATTTTAGAACCACCTTCACCATAAATATCATGTCTTTTTATACCCTTACATTCTCTGTCCATCAGCCTCTTTTTCTGGCATGCTGATTGCAAATCCTTAAGGTTTTCTTAGCAAGTGAAGAATGGTGGATAGGATGCTTCCCATTGCCCAGGAGCTTGTGTGCTTTATTGACATACACTTAGTCTGAAAGCATCAGTTGAGTTTTCAGTCCTGGGGAAAAGGCATGGGAATTCTTGTTATTCTAAGGACATTTTTAAAATTTAGTCTTGCAGTTGTTCTGTCCTTTAGGAAAAGTCTTGTGCTCAAAGTCTGCCTCCTACTTAATGTATGAAGGCAGCTGTGGGATAATGGAAAAGAATGCTATACTGCTGTTAGATTGTGAGCTTTTCACTTATTTATTTATTACATATTCTTACACAGAATTTGCTATATGCCGCTTTCCTAGGCCTGGGAATATAGAATAAATATGAGAGTCATCCAGAGTGTTGTGGAGGAGGTTCACTTTAGTGAACAGAGGAATCTTTTCAGAAGAGTTAGAATTTCAGCTGAGACCCAAGCCTTGAGAGAAAACCACCTAAGACAAGAATCAGGAACATTCCAGGCAGAGGAAATAGCCAATGTAAAGGTACTGGGGCAGGAAAGAGCTTATTGTATTTGAGACATAAAATGGAAAAGCAATAAAATAAAATGGAAATGTGGCAAGGAAAGAAGAAAATGAGGCTTACAGAAGTGGTGGGCGCTAGGTCCTAGAAATGCCTATATGGAATAGACGGGCATATGTGTTTAATTCAGTGTATAGTAGGAAAATCATTAAAAGGTTTGAAGTAAAAAAAATGATAAGCTCTAGCTGACACCTTTCAGTAAGAATCTGGCTAAGATGTAGAGAACAAATTTAAGAAAACAAGCATGAAAAGTGAGAGAAGGAGTGAAGAGGTTGCTACCAAGTCCAGCAAGAAATGCTGGTGGTTTGGCCCAGGGTGGTGATAGAGAAGCGGGAACAGGGAGATGGATGGAGAGAGAAAGGGACAGTCCCTGAATCTGGAGATATACAGGGTAGATGGTAGATTTGGTGTGGGAGGAATCCCTATATGTTAGCACAGTGGATGGGATAGGTACTCAAAAGTTTTCTTGGAAGTGAACTAAATTTGAAGTTTCAGTTGAATTTCAACTTTTGCCCTTTGTACACCTGTGGACAAATCCATAACCTCTCTCAGTGAAGGTTGAAGGGAATGTCAGATCTCCAAGTCCTTTGTAAGCAGGTGTCTTAGTCCATTTTCTGCTGCCATCACAGAATTGGATCATTTCTAAAGAACAGAAATTTATTTGGCCCATGGTTCTGAAGACTGGGAAGTTCAAGGGCATGGTACTGACATCTGGTGAGGGTTATCCCTTGGAGAAAGGGTAGAGGGTAGAAGGAGGCACAGGAGACAGAGAGGGAAGTAGGCCGAACTTACCCTTTTATGAAGATCCCACTCCCATGATAACGGCATTAACTTCATTCAAAATGACAGAGCTGTTGTGGCCTAATCACCTTTTAAATGTCCTACCTCTTAATATTATTTAGGTGGCAATTAAATTTCAATGTGAGTTTTGGCAAAAACAGTCAAGCCAGATCAATGGCCAACTGCCCAGATGGAGGGGTCATCATGAAGATGGACATTTCTGGAGATGTCAGTGTCCATATTGGTTTTACCAGGGGTTCTTAGTATTCACTGAGCAGGGCCTGGGCAGGTGACCAGGAAAACGTTGCCTTTTATTTCTGCCTCCACCCTGACTTTGAGCTGAACTCCCCATGGACCTTCACAGGGCAGAAAAGCACTAACTCTCCTTGACCTTCTGTGATTGACTCTGGATGAGTTTGTCCAGAAACTTGTCAGTTCAGATGCTCATTTGGCTGATGGACAAGAAGCTTGTGGGAACCAGGCTGCTACCACAGACCCATCTAAGGAAAATCAAAGAGCAGCCAGGGGGCTTTTAGAGGCTTATTCATCATAGAGAGCATTTGGGTATATGGTTAATTATATGCTTTATTACGGATGCTAATTTGTGCTGGAAGCTGATACAGTGTGTGTTAGCATTTAGCTTTAGCTAATGAAGTTGGGTTAAGCATTCAATATATCACTGAGCTCACAATTTCTCCGCTTGGCTAGAACAACATGGTGTGGAAAACTGAGGGGTGATGGTGTTGGGGAAGAGAAAACATTCACACAGTGAGTTTCTTCCCTGTAACTCTAGAATGTCTTCAATACTGCATTGTGCTTGCACCATTTTAATATGAGATAATTTTCAGTGGATAAAACCCTGGGCATGTGTTAAAAAAGAAGTATTGTTGTGATTACTTATTAGCATAATCAGAAAAAGCCCCTGTGTGGGCTCCAATGAGGCCAACTGGAGCCCTGTGGTTTCTTTTTTAAAAGTCCTCATATTTTAAGAAGAAGAAAAGGATGCTGGCATAAAAATGCATTCAGTGTGTTTCACTCAGCTCAGTACCTAACTTAAATCATCGCTGATAACTTTAAAATACAGAGGATAAACAAACTTATGTTTGACCTTGGCAATAAAGAAAATCATCTATTTGCTCTGCTCCCATTGGTGTTAAGAGAAGCTATGCATGTAAATCCCTGACACATCAATGAAATAATAAACTCCTGGGTGAGCCATTTAATTTCTCTTTCCTAGCTACCTTTCATACTGGGCTAAAAGAAGGGGGAGAAAACCAATGTCCTCTGTAAAGACAACTTAGGTTGACTCTGATTCTTAGGCATTCTTTCTTAGAGCCCAGCTCTAGAGACTGGGAACCCAGAGGGTCTGACAGGGAAGGAATTGAGCTGCCAACATGGGGACCATCACTGGAGACCTGAGCCTTGCAGAAAGCCTGATTTGATAGCCTGCCTGAGTCCATTTGCCTCCCTTCCTCCCTCCCCTAACCAAGGCTTCAGTTGTACCTATCTGTCCTCTACTGGGAGTTCATACAAGCTCCAGCTGCTTTGGGATGTGTTACAGTCTTGATGGGTCAAGTAAGAGGCTACTTCTTCTTGAGTACTTACTGTATTAGACCATTTTCATACTGCTAGAAAGAAATATCCAAGACTGTGTAATTTATAAAGAAAAAGAGGTTTAAGGAACTCACAGGTCCACATGCCTAGGTAGGCCCCACAATCATGGTGTAAGGTAAAGGAGGAGCAAAGGCATGTCTCACATGGCGGCAGGCAAGAGAACGTGTGCAGGGGAACTGCCCTTTATAAAACCAACACTCGTGAGACTTATTCACAATAACTTGTGAGGCTTATTCATTATCATGAGAACAGCATGGGAAAAACACACCCCCATGATTCAGTTTTCTCCCACTGGGTCCCTCCTATGACACGTGGGGATTATGAGAGCTACAATTCAAGATAAGATTTGGGTGGGGACATAGCCAAACCATACCACTTACTAAGTGCCAACTGCTGTGCTAGGCATTTGAAGGCAGTATCTCATTCAGTCCTCACAGGAGACTTACTGAAGCCAGTGTTCCTAGGACTCCTGAATTGCAGATAAGAAAAATTGAAGGCACAGAGCTGGTAAGGGGAAGTGACTGTTAACTTACACCGATTCTAGAGTTTAATGTTCTGAACGAAGAGCTGGCAAACTTTTTCTCTGAAGGGCACAGAATACATATTTTTGCCCTGCCAGTCATTATGGTGTTTGTTGAAATAACTCACCACTGTTATTGTACAGGGGAAGACAGCTACAGACAAAATACAAATAACATGTTCCACTAAAAATATATTTACAAAAGGGTGTGTAACCAGATATGGCTGTCAGGCCCTAGTTTGCCAACTCTGTTCCTAAACGGTTTTCCTTTTCACTTCCCCAGGCTCTTTGGTGAAGAGATCAGGCTTTGGAGTCTGACAGAGCCAGGTTCACATTCAGTCTCTGCCACTCACTTGCTGTGCTCTGTTCGAGAAATCTCTTAATCTCTGGGAGCTTGGTTAGTTTTTTTCCATCTGTGAAATTGGCAGAAGGCCAACCAAACATGGTAGTTGTGAAAATCAAATGCAAAACCATGTGTGAAATATGGAATACAGGGTTCAGCACTGGGACAGCTGTTGAACTGTGGACTCGGGCTCTTGAGAGGTGGTCTAACAAGGGTGCTCCTGCCTCTGGGAAGAGAGCATCGGCGTAGGCCTGTCTTCTGTGGCTAAGCAGCCCCAGATCAGGCAGAGGAAGGTTCCAAGTCCATGCAGACTTCAGCTTTAGTCTTCAGCACTGAATCCTTGTTTCTGCCTCCATAAGAATACCTTTCTATCAGGGAACCAAAGTCAGGAGCTTACAATGGAAATTCAGGCCCTGGAGAACCTGGTGTACATGAGCCCCAATATTAAAGCACAAAGGAGGAAACCAAGACATTTTAAAAGTGCTTTTAGAGATGGTAAGAGACACAAAGAGTCTCTCATTGTTTTATACTTGTAAAGAGACCCCTGCTGGATTCCCAGGTATAATCTGCAGTAAAAAGCTACAGGGTTACAACAAGACATTTGATTCCATTGACTCACTTCCTTTTTTTCCTCACAGCTTCTGGCATAAAAACGCAAACCAGAGAGACACTTTAGAATCAGCTTCTGCAGTGCTTTTTCTATCAGCTGCTGACAGTAGAAATACAAAGATGGTGACATGATACAATTGCTGTTAATATCTAAACTTCTGATATGATCATCCTAGAAGAACGACAGTCATCAGCTCTCTGCTCATGGCTCCCCAGGGCACAGAACACTAGGCAATTAAATGACAGAATTACTTTGAAATAATGTTAATGGTGCTAATGAGAACGTGAAGGACAGGCAGGCTGGGGTCCTAGCACAGACTCAGGCAGGCAGAGTAAGTAGGGTTGGGCATGGTACATGGTTTTGCATAACAATAGTGTTATGCACATTTATCTCTTTTCCTTTACGGAGACGAGCAAAGAATGATTCATTCCTTTCTCTCCTGTCATTTGCTTAGTAGACTAAACCGAAAAAAGCATTTACATATTAGTTCACATAACTGAAAAATCCAGAGGTGTACGGTCCTCAGGTATAGCTGGATCCAGGAGCTCAAACCATGTTGTCAGGACTTAGTGTCTCTCTCTCTCTGTCTTTTCTGTCTCTCTCTATATATCTCCCTCGCTTCTGGAATAGATGGAAAACAGTAGAAAGCCCCAAGGGCAATAAAATCTTATAACTAAGGTATACAGTTTGGTGAGGGTGGTCAGAAAAATTTGCAGGCTAAGGAAGTGTTCGAGTTTGAAACTATAGCCTCCAAAGAGAGATCTGAGGCAGTGTGTTTTGACCTGTGCCCTCTGAGCACTTACAGAAGAGCTTTCTGGGACTGGTTGCCATGAGGCAGTTTCCTGGGCTTCATCTCACACCTACAGAATGTGATTCCCAGGAAAAGGTCTTTAGCTATGCATTTTTTTTTAGCAAGCTCCCTCCAAATCTTGTACACACTTCCATTTGGAACAGTCTTAGTTGTAACAGGCTTTCATTCTACACAATTAATAAATGTAACCTGTAGGGTGGATACTTTAAAAAAAAAAATTCTGAACACGGACTCTGGAAGGCTGTGGGATCCTCCTGCTCTCCAGGGTCCTTGAGTAACATACACAGGCACTCTTGACTACAGGTGAATTCTGCTGTAGGCAGAGAGCCTCCCTGGGACCCTAAAAGGAGACAGTGTTTTCTTTTTCATGCGACAGTGCAGAAAGCATGGAAATCTTCTGAAAAGCCCATCTCTAGCTGGCTTTTCCTCTGGATGATTTGCTTAGAGAAAAGAGCCTGGCAGGTATAAAGGCCCCAGGACATTTCCATGAGCTCCTTTCATCCATCATTCTCATCTTGGAAAGGGAAAGTGCAGTGCCCCTAATTCATGTGCTCCTCAATCAATCTTCCTGCTACGCTACATCCTAACATGGGATCTGTAGTCTACAGAGAGATGGCTAAATCATCATTCTTGCTCTGCCCCTTACAAACTGAGTGACCTTGAACAAGGTATTTAACACCTCTGAGTCTTAGTTTTCTCATAAGCAGCACCTGTCTCACTACGTGGTGGATGCAAATTAAGAGAGAATGCATTAGAGGCCTTTAGCATAATATCTGGCATCTAGTAAGTGCTCAGTAAATATCAGCTACTATGATTTGGTTAGTTCTTATTAGTACTTAATCTGTAATGTGCATAGAGAGAAGAAATAAGATTTTAATATAAGAAGGCTATCAGCCTCTCACATCCTTTGCAAATGAACATTGGGCCAATAGGGCCATGGAGAAAGGTTTGGCTTTAATTACATATAATTACACAGAAGGGATAATGAATACTTAGTTCATTTCCATCAGGGTCTCAGCAGAGCTTGGTAGTTAAGACCATGACTTTTGGTGCAAGACAGACTTGGGTGTGAGCCTGGCTCTGTCACTAGTTCTATGATTTTGGGCGAGTTACTGAACCTCTCCAACCTCAATTTACTAGTCTATAAAATGGGAATACTAATAGGATTCATAGCATTGTGTTCTTGTGAGGGTTAATTGATGGTTGGAGGTAAACTATTTGGCATATTTCTGCTCCATGGAGAATGACCTACCACCACCACCTCACCATCTACATAGATCCTTGTCAACAGAGCAATCTGTGTGTTTCTTATACTTTACAAAAAGACAATTCAGTTGAGTGTGTCTTTTTTCCCCATTTAAAATGGCTGTGCAATATGTTGTAAAATTTCTTACTCTGTACACTAATTATATCACCAAGGAGGGGCTCTACCCAGCTAGAAAGGAGAAGCTTGGGTTAGAAGAATGGAAGTAGGGGGATTTAATGCCTTTCTAAGGTTACTGAAGGCTATGAATAGTCTAAAATCCTTGGAGTTGAGGGTGAAGACTGCATTATGAAACCCTCTTTGCTGGATTTATTTATGTTCCTTCTCTTTGTCTCCTTTCTTTCTCTCCCCTTCTCTTCTCTTTTCTTTCTTTAGATAGATATGGAGATGGAGACATAGCGATCCCTCACTGCCCTTGAAATTGGGCCGAACCTTTTTTTTCTATAGCAGATGCTCATAAAACACAAAAGCGCCCATTTGTTTCTTCCTGCTTATTCATTCTTGCAACAAAATAACAGGAGGATGGAGGGAGGCATTATCAAAGGCATTTTTGTTCAAAGGAAAAACTCCTCAATGATCACTATTACCGTTAGAAGTCCCTTTTGCTTCTTTGACAGCATAATCACTTTTCTCTCCTTGATTTTTGCCTGTATCCCTGAGGCACCCGAACATGAGACAGTTTTCCCTTTTTCAAGATGTGTCTGATGCACAGAATGCAGCAGAGGAAGCTCACGATGACCCTGGAGCATGGCTGGAGCATGGCCAGGCCATGCACAGCTGGGTCTGTGTTGCCGCTGGTGGGAGGCGTATCGCTACTGGGGTACAGGAGGATTTTGGGAGGCCCATGGACAAAGCATCCAAAAAAACCAGCAGATCACAAGGTGAGAAGTTATTCCCTTTCCACTTCTCTCTCCAGCCTCAAGAGCAGGATTCTGTCTGGGGTTAGGGTATTTTAACGCCCCTCTAACACGTACTAAAGTCCCTCTGTAATAAAGTGAGAAGGCAAGCCTCTGAATTGGGCTTTCAGCAGGAACAGTACCCAGCTAGAGTTTAATAACTTTTTTTCATGGTATTCTTCCTTACAGTTAGTGTCTACATTTACAGCAAGGGACACTGGTTTTCTATTTGCTGCCATAACTGGGAGTTTCCTTTTCACTGAAAATGTAAAAAAATAAAAATAAAAAATAAAGGAAAGGATAAGTAAATAACATAGGTATTATGTAGATATGGCAAAAGTGTTGAAGGTTGGGAAGACTGAGGATGACTGAAGTGTGGGAAAACTGCCCTTGGTACAATGACAGACCTTTCCTCTTTTGGGCTTATTTCCAAAGGAGATCTACCTTTCCTTGAAGCCAGATGTCTATGCATTAGTTTGTGAGATACTCTATGAATGCACAAAGACAAGCTCTCCAAAGGGAAAAAGAGGGTGCTAGGGAACATTTTAGCTTTAGTCTTCAGTCTTTAGTTAGCTCTATGAGAGAAAGAGGCCCACCGAGATGGCACTTTACAGTTTAGTCAACTTGGGTTTGCATCTCAGCCAGAAAGGTGCCATTGTGGATTCCTGATTTATATCTTCTGGATTCAAATGAAAGCTCTGACACCTACTAACTGGGGAACCAAGGGAAAGGGACACATCTTTCGTGCTGTAATTTTCATATTTGTAAAATGGGATAATATTAGAATTTACTTATAGGATTGTTGTGAAGATTGAGTAAGTTAATAATATAGACAGACTGCTTGGAAAAAAATGCCTAGAACATAATCTCATGGTAAGTGCTCAGTAAATTTTAGGTGCCGTCATTGTTGTTGTTGCCATCATCATCATCTGCCACCACCACCTTGTGTGACATTCTCCCTGAGTCTCATGTTCCTTGTCTGTAAAGTCAGGTTGTTACTACCTGACTCAAAATGTCATTGGTACATGAAGCTGACGCACAATAAATGAGAGCTTCATTCACTCCCCTTTAAAACGTAAGACATGTAAGGTGATGCAAACTCCCAAGGCTATGAGTCTCTAGCCTTTGTCCCTTACCGAACTGTGAATGAAGCACCACCACAATGAGGTTTATGAGTGGAGGCATCTATACACACCTTTGCGTGGAGTTACTGGTGACACTTGTTATCTAGTTGTGGGAAGCAGACATGCCAGTCATGGGAGGCAGACGTGAATGTCAGTTGTTCAAAGTGGCACTTTTGCCTTATAAGGAGGTTCAGTGACCAATCAAGTCCTATGTACAGGATAATTTTGAGTAACCCATAACCATATTCTTTTCCCTGAAGATAGACACATTAAAGTCTTTAGCCGCTAAGACCAATTTTAAACCCATGCTACTTCTCTTGGCTGAAGTTAGTACCATTTTATTAAGTTGGTAGTGAGCTGTAGCTGCCCCACTTTCCTATTGTTCATCTACTATCGATCTAAACTAATCACTTAATTAGCCCAGACAAGAAGGCTTCTGCAGTGTTAAATAACTCTAAAACCTACTGGAGATGCTTGAGTGGCCTGATTGGATTTAACTTGCAGTTCATTGCTTCTAGACTAAGATATGTTAAATACAGGGCCTGAAAAACAAGCTGGATTCTGCATTGTGAACAAATTTGATTTACTTAAAAATAATAATGCTTTAGGCCAGTGGTTTTCAAAGTGTGGGCCCTGACCCACAGTGTCAGTGTTACCTAGGAACTTGTCCATCCCTAGACCCACTGTAGACCTACTGAATCTGAAACTTGGGAAGTAGGGCCTTGCAATCAGTTTTAACAAGTATTTGAACATCAGTATCTTGGTGATACTGTTGGAGGCAAAGGCATGAGAACCACTGTTTTAGACCATCTTGCAAAGTTATGGCCTTATTTATTCTTTCTGGCAGTGAGAAGAAAAAGAATTAAAAAAGAAAATGAGTGAGGGGCAAGAAAGAAAATTAGAAAAGCAGGAGACCTGAGCAACCTGGATGGGAAGTTCATTTACCGAAGTGTGACCCTGGACCAGCAGCATGGGACCCTTTTAGAATCTGGGAGCACTATTTGAAATCCATCCTTAGGAACCAATCATACCAAAGGGAGGTGTTCATCCGAAGCCAGGGTGACGAGATAAAATGCTCAGAGAGTGAGCAAAATCCTGCTGTGATGTCAGAAAAGGAGAGGACAGTGGGACATTTGCAAGGAGAACTAAAGAGTCCAGGAAAGTCTCATTAGCTCCAGGCTTTCTCTGAGATGGGCACACAGAATGTATCCAACAAATGTTTATTGAAGATACAGAGGCCTAAATTGAGTTTCCCAGCTAATTCTCATCTGAGAATGTAGGTATGTTTATTGGGCCTGGTCTGTAGGGAAAAACAAGAATTAGCCCACAGGTCATCTACTATACTCAATCTTCCTGCCTTTTGAGAAACAGCTTGGTGTAGGGAAAAGGGCCAGGAGTTTATATATAGACAGGCATTCTTGCTAGTGTGTGACCTTAAGCATGTTAAAAACTCTCTAAGCTTTAGTTTTCCTGTCTGTAGAAGGAAAATAACAGTTACTTATAGATGATTTTGCTCATCACTGAGCACCAGCACCTAGTACATATAGTATTTGGCATACAATAGGTGTTGCATAAATATTTGTTAAATAAAAAAATTTTTAAAGGGAGGAAGAAAAGAAGGAAACGTCGATTTTTGTAAGACTTATTTAAAATAATGCTTTGAAAATTCTTTTCATAGTGACGGGTACAGATATTCTTCAGTAGTAGCCAGTATTCTGATGATGAAGAGGATACAATGTGATGAGGAAGAAGAACAGATTTAGAAAAACATCTTCTCAATGCCCAGAATAGAGTCTATAGCCTTACTGAACCTAGGCCTGGTCTTCCCATTCCTCCACAGTTACTGCTCCTCCCATTCCTCCACAGTTACTCTGTTCAGGCTGCTGTAACAAAATACTGTAAACTGGGTGGCTTATAAACAACAGAAAATTATTTTTCATGGTTCTGGAGGCTGGGAAACCCAAGATCATGGTGCTGGTAGATTACATGTCTGGTGAGCACCTGTTTCCTGGTTCATAGACGATGCCTTCTCACTGTGTCCTCACTTGGTGGAAGGGGCAAAGCCAGCTGCTGGGGCCTCTTTTATAAGATGGGCCTGCCATCCGTTCTTATCACCTCCCAAAGGCCCTCACTCCTCTTAATTCTCTCATTGGTGATTAGGTTTTAACATAGGACTTACGGAGGGGGAACAAACAGACTTTAGCTGTTTCTCTACTTTCAGTTATGCCTTAAGGGCCACCTCACTGCTGTTCCATGCACAGTAGGTAATGAAGATATTTTCAGGGCCGAAGCGAACTACACGGATGTGACCATGATTGAGGGTTGTCGGTCGTAGTCATAGTCATCCCAAGTAGGAATGATCTAGCTTTTATTCCTACAACTAAGTTATATATTAAATTATTTTACATTGTTTCATTTCCAGGTCGGTAATCATTAACCCATTGATTAACACTTTTGCTTCAGGGTAAAAGTAAACATTTTTAGTAACAGTTTCCCTCTGCCCCCCCACCCACCTCCACCCCGCTCCATGCCCTCTGTATGTTATTATACAAATGCCATTAGTTGCATTCACTTACGTGACTAAAGGGATGTTTTCACCTTGAGAATATTTGCATGTTCCTCGCTTTTCTTTAACCATTCCTCCCCCTTTCTCTTTGTACATTAGTACAAAGAAGTAACTTGCCAACTTAATAGACCAGAAGAGAAATTGGGAATGGTAAATTTGCTGAGAGTCCATGGTTACCAATTCCTTTCCAAAGAACATGGGTTTTAGTGTTACACATGAGTTCAAATCTCAGATCCACCTATTAGCAACTTTGTGACCTTGAGCAAGTTGCTAAATCTTTCTGAGCATAAGTTTCCATCTACATCCTATGGGGATCTTATGCAAATTAAATAACATTTACAAATGTATCTAAAACAAATATCCAACAAAAGTTCATTTCCTTCTTACCAGCATGTTGAGCCAGTATATTCAACGGATAGAGACTCCCAGAAGTAGGTACATGACCAAACCTTAGTCTGGTGGTTGGATTCAGAGAAGAATGAATGGGAGAGGTTTCTGTTCAGTAAAACACACAGCTCCTGGTCATCATCTGAAAGAATTGGTGGGGGTTTAAAAGTATTGTTCTATAACTTCCTGTCAACTGTGGTGAAAGCAATGATGGGGAAAGGTCCTGTAAAGCTCCTTGCCAAAAATGGAGGATCATTCTTTTCCACCGTGTTGATTTTGGTGACAGGTATAACAATAAAGATAGGAATGAGCAGAGAGTTGAAAAGTGAGAACACAAGGATAAACAGGAGACTCTTCTTTGGAATGTTGTCAATACAAGGTAGGAGTAGCTGCCATGCTGTTTCTGTCTGACTAGCACAACAGACGTGTGCTAATGGAAATGGATGTGCAAGCACACATCAGTTACCCATTGCTGACCATAAAATTAGCAACTCTCCAGCCCTTGCACAAAACATAAACAGGTTAGTGGGTATTAGTGCCCAAGAGGAAATCAGAGAGAAGAAGGATTCTGCCAGGGACATTGTTCTGAATTAAGTGTTGTTTTTCATTGCTTTTGGTATTTTCTCCATGCAGACCAGACTCAGACTTACTTTAGCAAATAGAGTAATTGTTGGCTTTTCCCATATTGGTATCATTAGGCTTTGTTTCGTTCTTGAAACTGTTATAGGAAAGGGGTCCTAATCCAGACCCCAAGAGAGGGTTCTTGGATCTCACACAAGAAAGAATTTAGGGCGAGTTCATAAAGTGAAAGCAAGTTTATTAGGAAAGCAAAGGAATAAAGAATGGCGACTCCATAGACAGAGCCGCCCCAAGGGCTGCTGACTGCCTGTTTTTATGGTTATTTCTTA